ATTTAAATTGAACAGTCAATCTTTTGTGTCCAGTCATGCTGAAAAGAGAAATGCACTGAAATCCTTTATTTTGTTGCCCCATCTGCAGCATCAACAAGGAGGGAAAAAAATCTCCTTTTAAAGGTAAATATATCATTACTTTTCTTGTTTTATAATTTGCATATTTGTGTGGACATCATTTCATGCTTGACCAACGTGTCACCCCAGATGTACGCAGAAGTGACAGATGTGTCAGAAGATGCAAAAACCGCCGCCTTGTTTCTGTTTCTTTTGAAGTGCTGATGTACGAAGCGCCTTCATTGTTTTCACACCTGCTGAGAGTGCTGAGGATACAAGAAAACAGCTTTTTATGTATGTTCATTTTAGGAGAAGGGCATTAAATGACAGGAATGCCAAAACAAATAATTGTTTTTTTCAAAAACTTATTAAAAAGAGAATATGTTATTAAAAAATAACTAAAATTTTGATTTTTTTTTTCCTGTGCATCTGAGCTCAACGTTATGTATTTCTTTTTTGTATTTTTGTTCTTTGTCTCCTACTTATCTGTTAATGGTATTACTTCATCTTCCCTCTATAGAACAGGAACGTCAGGATGGAAACAGCAGAACAATGAGTGGAACAATAGCCTCGGATACTACAGTCTCATACATCAGCATCACTGACGTATGATTTTGGCTGAAAGGGGAAGATTTGCATGAGAGCAGGTGTCTGCATTCAACGCCGCTGTAACATATGTGCCTGAACAATGAAGCATATGAAGAAACTGTTCCCCAGTTTTTAGGAAGGGAAATGGGAATTTTGTCTCTTTTCATCGCTCCTTGCAATCAGATAAATTAAATACATTTCCTTTCAAGCCACAAATAAAACAAAATGTTATCATACATGCAATTACTAAAATAGTTTCATCCTCTTAACTTTTTAGCTTGTTCAGTTCTAGCCACTATGTGAAATAATATTTATAAAGCCTCTTTATCATTACGTAATCCAATATAGGTTTTAACAATAAATATAAAGTAAAAAATATATAATTTTGCATTAATATTTGTTATACTAGAACTTCAGCTGACTTACCAACAAGAATCAACCAAAATCGGGTAGAATGTATGAATGGTACTGCTGTGTTCAGAGGAAGGCTGTAAACATGCACTCTCCTACCTCCTGCCAGTTGCAATGAGACTTCATCAGTCATAGAAACGGCACCTTAGGGTGCAATTTGAGATGAAACCCTGTTATAATCAGATTTAACATTGTGGATGAGGCTGACTAGTGGAAAAAAAAATGAAACTAAAAAGTCAACCACAAAATTGCCTTATTCTTCCAACTTGCTTACCAAGCAAACATTTTAGCGATAATGTAGTCTAACGGCGTCTGATGGTTGAAACCAAAGATGTTCTTAAGATGTTTGGGTGGAGGTGCTGATCTCTGATGTAAGCACATATATGACAAACTTTGTTACTTTGTTTCTAACTTTCTGACATTTTTGTTAGATAATCTTTGGGACTCAGCCTGGTAACCAGTGGCTGGTGGAGTTTTCTCCAGGGGGAGGGCTATAAATTCAAAATACACATATACCAAAAACCAATTAAACATATACTAAGTTATCACCAGTATATTTATATGAATGCAAACTACAAAAAACATTATAAAAACAAAACATAATCTCATGTAAAGGTTTGCTTTTTGTACATAAATCCTTCTCTTCTGAGGCTTTGTAAACGCAAATCTGTGTTTTGCATGATCCAATATGGCGCCACAAACCTAAAAAAATAATGTAGTAGTTTAATAATGGTGAAGCTATAAGTCAGTTCTATATTTTCTAAATAAATAAAAACTACATTCTGAGAATGTGTTTATTTAAGAGCAACTAATCAAATTAGCAAACATCTAGAAAAAGTACACTATATGATATTATTTTCCATATGATACCCAGATGGTTCGTTCTTCTTTGCCTTTTCTAAAAGTAGAAAGGCAAGGGAAAAGCAGAATGAAGCATTAGCCTCGCTGCATGCAGATAGCCAAGCCTTGTAGCTAAACCAGGTCCTGTACAGTCTCCAGCTGTCTTTTTGACTGCTCAACAATTTTGATGTTCCACTGATCAGGTCCAAACGGTTTCACCTCCACCTTTTCTTGGTAAGTTTACCTTAAGGGACTTCACTTCTGCAACTCAACCTGTCAAACAGCCGCACTACGACTGTGACGACAGTTCCTGTCAGCTCTGGAGAGCTCAGGGTGCAGATTTCTCCTAAGATTGCAGAGGAGCTACTGAGCATTTACAACTGTAAAAGAGAAACGGCTTTGCTCATCATTAAAGACTGAATATTTATCTTGCACATCTAGAAAATATATTAATATATTTCAAAGAACTTTCATTTTGTAATTTATTATTTTTTATATTTATGTCTTAATCAAAGTCATTGGGTGGGTGGGGTGGCCTCTATTGACCAGCCGCCACTGCTGGTAACACATTTTACGTTACTGTTTTCACCCTGATCCCACACATGGATTGGTCTCTTATCAGCAGGGTTTCATATTTCTGAAAGCACAAAGGTAACAACAGTAGCGACCGTTGATTCACTACTTAAAGCCTTTAGGTTGATAATTAAACTTCTCACATTGTTAACCCTTGCCACTAAAAGGAAAAGCACTAAAAGAAAGTGTCAGTGTTTCAGGAGCAGAATCTCCATCCAGACAGTCCGGTCCATTAATGTGATGCAATATAGAAAGCTGTTCTACAGAGTGAACCAAGATAGGGGTTCATTTCCTTTAAGACTTCTTTCATCTCTAACATTTTAACCCATGATGATTTTTAAATCCTCCTTCTGTGTCTTGCTCTATAGATTAGGAGCTGTTCTATGTTGAAACAAAACAGCCTAAAGAAACTTTCCCTAATTCTGCAAAACTATATTTTGTACACAGCGAGGTGTTCTTTCCTATTATATGAACTGCATCTGTGTCTTACTGGCTGTTATTAGCCGTTATCAGTCCCATAGAATGGCTTCAAATTTCGCCTCCTCTACCTTCTAGTAGGTTTCTTATGGATGATAGTATTCAGCTTATTGTTAATAGCCGCTATGGCCATGTCTAAAACCTTAAGTTTGAATTGATATTTAATTACTTTATACTTTTTATACTTTATTTACAGCCTACCTTCTTTAAAAAAAAAAAAAACTGTTTTAAAGCTTTGCTGCGAGTGAATTCCAGATGTTTCAGTCACACAGATGTAATGCGGTGTTTGAAAACAACTCAGTTGAAAAGATAAGAGATGTTTTTTAGGAGGTTTTGTTCGATATGAGTGATCTGCAGATCACCTTTTTCTTACAATACATGAAGAAATAGTAAATAATGTTCAGATTACATATAAATACAATTTAAAAAAAGGAATTACTTTAGCTTTAAGATTAGGATTTATTCTGTAACAACCTACTGAACCCACTGGAAGGTAGAAAGTAGAATCTGAAGCCATTCTAAGAGAATGATAACTGCTAATAACATCCAACACGATAAGATTTGATCATCCTTCAGGTTTAACTTACTGCTAGTCTCCTTATTAACTTTTCATACCTAGAATTGAGAGATTTGGCGGTTCAGATTGTATTCTGATTTAAAAACATGAGAAAAAAAACATTCTGAGAAAGAAAGGATGTTGGAAAAGGACTGAGAAAATACAAAACAATCGTTGACATCCATTCCTCTCAGGAGACGATGATGTAGCTTCCAAATATGGGTTCATCCGCACTTCTTTGGTTGGCTGAGCAGATCAACCAGTGTCCTCCTCCAAAACTGTGTGACTCCTAGGGGTACTGTTGGTGGTCTTTGTCTGGTTCTTTCCTGAATGGCATCTTTTGTACAATCTCTGATAACAAATCGTTAGCCTGGCTCTCGTCCTTACAGGCATCTTTGCAGAGTAGTAATCCGGACTGTGCTAAGCCTGGTAGATGTGCATCTTGGTCCTTTCATTTAGAGTTGGAATCTCCTTTATCTGACGTCATGTCTGTTGTTTATCATCCAGCCCTGAAGCTACATTAGTATTCTGCATAGACATGGGAGGTGAGGGTCGCTATGGGTCCAAGGAAAACACAGGCAAACACTTTGCAAATGATGTCGAGTAGGGAGACGCTCCTGTAGTTTTTGCAGTCGCTCCGGTCTCCTTTGTTATGACAGAGCGACGATGTTGAGGTCATGCATTTCCTAAGGGATGTAACCCTGTACCCAGCATTATGATTCTGATAAACATTTAACTACCCAAACATTGTTTAAAGGAACAATAATCTTATATGTAAACATAAAACACGAAAAGTTTAGTCTGATTTAAAATCAGTGACAAAAATGACCTGCTTTCAGTTTATATATTCAAATAAAACTGACAAACTGATTTGTTGCCTTGAGCGAGGCATGTTAGAGCTTCCAAAGTTTGGAAAAATGAACTTTTTTTTTAAACAAAATGTGATGGAAAGTTTCAGTAAGAATCCTTCAGCCAAAACTTATTTATACAACATAAGAAAACAGGAACATGTTGATAGTCTATGAGTAAGAGCACAGAATGATCCTGAATAAAACCGTGCAACAGAATGTGGTGAAAAACAGCCGTCAAACACAATTAGAAGTGTTTTTTTTCCCCCTAAAACATCTGACTCACAGTATCCATCATTATTCTCCTACTAGATATAAACAGCAGCAGGGATGGAGATTTTCATAAAAGCAGGAAATGCATCAAATCCTGTCATGTTTGCCATGTTTCCCAACATGGGAATCAGCATGCACCCTGTGTGTTTATTAATAAAGGCCAAGAGGTTATTTCTATATGTGCTGCTGGGAGAAAAGGTTGCATTGAAATTAATTCCCACACACTTTCACCACATTTCACAAAAATGTTTCGGTGGTCGACTTATAAAAACACAATATTCACATATTTGAACGCCATGGTTACCCAGTAAGTCATCCTTAGAGGCTGGTATTGACAGAACAACAGTGTTTAGATTTAAAGCAGTTGGAAGCTTTTCTATGAGTATCTGAGTCAATGTTTATTTCTCAACGAAGTTAATTTACAGGCTTTTTTTTTTTTTACTGAAACCCAGAGGCTCAGGATAATTAAGCTCCATTACGGCAATAAATACAAGAACTGAATTAGTAGCGTGAATATTTTTAAAGTAAAGAAGAAAATTAATGCTGTTATGACATTCAGCAGCTAAAATATAGATACAAATCTTCTCATGAAACAAAGCAATACTGGCCTCAGAGGAATAAAACAAATCATCAGTAATTATATGCAATAAAAATGCTAATTATTGGTTTTAATGGATAAAAATATATATCCTCATAAGTCTCTTTAGTCGTGTCTGTGGACAGAGAGATGTTGTAGGAGTGAAAACAGGAATGCTAAAATAAAATCCAGGCCTCAGCCGGGTTCTTCTGACACCTCTGATTCAGTGGAGCATGAGAGCGATGGAGACGGCCAGAGGCAGCAGGAGGTCAACACACACACGTCTGCCTCCCGAGGTGAGAGTCGCCCCATACTGATCCAGGAGCTGCAGGGCCACACCGTTGGTCCAACCGAAGCCCAGCTGCAGCAGGGGGAGGGACACAGCAGCAGAGTGTTAGTGTTACTTCTATTTTTATAAAGCGCATCAGACAGTGCAGTTCAATCTCGAAGACCTCAAATATCACTTGTGGTTTTATATTTCAGTCAGGGAGGGGAATAGGGGAAGATGGGAGAATAGAGCAATGGCTGGTTTGTGTGGGAGGTAGGAGGCTGATGGATGAGGGAAAACATTCACTGGATTTTGGCTTAAAATTAAAAAGGGTGCTTTAAAAAGTAATCTGTTTTTAATTCTATGGTTTGACATCTCTAAGCATAGCAAAAATAATTCAGTCTTCAGGGGGTTCGAAAATAATATAATACTAACCTCAGATACGCCAACAATACCAACAGGTCACTCTACTTATCAGGTAAAACAAAGAAAAACAGGGAAAAGTGTGTGTGGAAAACAAAGATCAGCTCATAGAACTAGTTAACATTGAAGTCATATTTTTTTTCTGTGACTTCAACCGTTTCTCCAATTTTTTTTTGTAGATTTGGGCCACCCTTCTCTGCTGGTTGGTTCCTTTCATTCCGGTTTGCAGACATTAGTTTCTGCTCATCTCTCTTCGGTTCCACCGTTGCATTTCAGTCAGGCAAAGATCTGGGCCGTGTCCTTGCCTTTGAGATCAATTCCTTATTAATGACCCGGTTTGGACCAGGCTTCAACTGTTGGACTTATTCCCTCCAACTTGATTATATTAAATTTTAAAAAGAAGACATTTAGGGTCTAATGGTTTTACTCCTATGTCTCCAAAGCAAATCTTAATCCTCACCCCTGCTCCGCCATGCCTGACAGTTGGTTTGTGGTTCCGAACATTAGGGTCAAACATCTGAGAATTTTTCTCATAAGCCACTAAAGTTTAACATTCTAACCACGGCTTTAGGAGTCTGAGTATTTTACTGTTTTACTCAGGATTTTTCTTTTCTTCCTCTGGAGTAATGGAGTTAAAATGGGTAGAAAACATTTATACCTAATAACCCCCCCCAGGCAAAACAGTTACATCTCTGCTGTCCCTCTCAGCATTGTGTTATCCCACACTAGTTAACACAAAAGGCTAAAAATCCTGCTTTAATAGATGTTCTCACTACATTACAAGAACAACACAAAGTTAAGCTTAAATGCTGATGAAGATTTTCAGTCATCCAGGTCATAGTCATTCTGTAAAACTTTCAAAACCTTGGAAACCAAGTCCAGTGGGTTGTTTTTTAAACTTTTACGGAAAGTTAATCTTAAATGTTTTAAAAATATATGTATTTAGCCTCTTTTTTACTCAGATACCTCAGACTAAATTAAAAAGTCCTTTATTTAGTAAAAAGAGACAACCTTTGCTGAATTCAGTTAAAGCTGGACAGGAACAGTAAGAAAGAAAAGCAATTAAGAGGTTTTTGGTAAGTGGAGGAGCTGCAGGGATCCACAGCTCACATGTCAGAATCTTTTGACAGAGCAGCTATTATTTATGCACGCTACAAATCTGAGTGACAAAAACAAACTAATGCAGGGAACATGGCAAATATCTGGAAATAAGGCAAAGAAGAAAAACTAACCGAGGATTAGCCTGAAGACATCATCCCCACAGCGAAACACGGGGGTGAAAGAATCATTCTGTGGGGATACTCTGCAGCTAAGTATTGACTTTTTTTCAAAACGTATTATATACGCATGTGATCATTTATAATTTGGTATAAATTTTCAGATTTTCATTCATAATGAGCGTTAAAAACCACAAGTTCCCTTTGATTTGAATGGATCTAATTCAGCAACTTGACAAAGTGTAAAAAAAAACAGTCAAGAGGTGTGAATATTTTTGTGAGCCACTGGATACAGAGCCATAAACTTAAAAGCATATGGACTTTATTTTTGTACCTGAATTGAAGGGTTTGAATATTTATAAGATAAAAAGGGAATTACCTGAACTTCATATTCTCCACCTCCACCTGGTTTCCCGTCGCCATTCACATCGTACTGTTAGGGTGGAGAGGAAGATTACACGTTCTGTCCTCTATGCACTGAGCTCTGAGGCAACAAAAACAAATAAACACCCAGAAAACATGCTCACCTTTTCAAACATGGCTTTGTATTTTTCATAAGCCAGCCAGTTTGTTTTGATCCAGCGCTGTGCCAAATTAGAAGCCAGATTCTTGGCGTCCTCTGAAGACAGTTTGGACAAACCTGGTGAAACAAATGTCTCCTTTTTAGTAAAAACACGCTCTTAGCCTTTAGTTTAATTTCCTTTTATGGTGGTTGAATGATTTTTTTTTAAACCACAATATAGCACAGAAAAATCTCACAGAGTACAAGACAGCAGGTGAGATTTATTTTTTTATGGCCCAGTGGTGCTTTTTTTTTTCCTGATCCAATCTGTTACCTGATTTCAATGCAGCTGAGCATGTATTTCACTTCATGAACACCAAACTGAAAGGAAATAAGCCCCCGAAGCAAAAAGAAAATAGAGAGAGCTGCTACACAGGCCCATCAGAGCATCACTGAGGAAGATGCCAGATAAAAAAAATATGACAGGAAGCAATCCCTCAAGCTGTGTGTCTGATGTGGATGTAATAAACTCCACAAAACGGAAACAAAGTGGGATGAATTCAGATATACATTAAGGGTTTGGCCACATTTGTACAAAAAGACGAGCACCAGATGAGCTCATATTATATTAAACTGCTGTTTTTCTTCATTTTCTTTAACATGGCTGTGGTCTGATGCCAATCCAGAGCAAATGAGTCATCTAGTTTTCAGAAATTCTTATGCAAATATTGGGCTGATGAATCCCTGGGTTTTTAGGAGGCTTCTTTGTTTCTGTTGCTTCCCACCTTCAATGAGCATGTGCTGCAAAGGAGGCCAGGCGTTGGGATAGTCCCACTGCTGCCCAGACTCCCTCAGTGACGTTGGCACTCCGTTGGGGAAGTCGAGAGCGCCGCTCCCCTGAGAGGAAACAAAGAAAAAAGGAGCGAAGCAGGGGTGAAACCTTTGCAGTGTGTGTGCGCCATCTGCTGGTACAACTCAGCATTGAGCCTCATGCAACAACATTTTCATGGTCTTCTCATACAAATCTTTTTCTCCTACAGTGGCCTTTAACGAACGCTTACGATCAGTAGTTTATGGTTAATTATCCTGCAAAACCTAAAGAACCCCCCTGTGCGTCTGCGCGCGCTCCCGATTAAAGTTAATCTGCAGGATTACCACTCCTATAAGGGGCAGCTTCTCACCCTTCTGTGATTATAATAGCAGTGAAGATTAAGAAGAAAAAGTTTAAAGGTCCGCAGATTGAAGTTCTACGGTAGAGGATTAAGGCCACTGAAAAAAGCTAACTAATTTTTAAATATTATTTCAGATTAATATGGGAAAAAAGTCAGAATTCTGACTTTAATCTCAGGATTCTGACTTTAATCTCAGGATTCTGACTTTATTCTCAGGATTCAGACTTTAATCTCCGGATTCAGACTTTTCTTTTCTCAGAATGCTGTCTTTAATCTCAGAATTTTGGATCATAATCTTAAAGGGCACCCTGAAGCAAGAGCTTCTCACCTTTCTGTTTAAAGATCCCCAGATTGAAGTTTTACGGTAGAGGATTAGGGCCACTGAAAAAAGGTTAGCTAATTTTTAAATATCATTTCAGTTTAATATTAGTCTCCTGTTCAATCTCAGAATTCTGACTTTGTTCAAAGAATTCTGACTTTGATCTCAGGATTCTGACTTTTGCTCTAAGAATTATGACTCTAATCTCAGGATTCCCGACTTTTATTCTAAGAATTATGACTCTAATCTCAGGATTCTGACTTTTTTTTCTCAGAAATCTGACTTTAATCTCAGAATTCTATTTTCTCAGAAGTCTGACTTTAATCTCAGAAATCTGACTTTTTTCTCAGAAATCTGACTTTAATCTCAGAATTCTGACTTTGATCTCAGGATTCTGACTTTTTTTCCTCAGAATTCTGACTTTTTTCAAAGAATTCTGACTTTTGTTCTCAGATTTATGACTTTAATCTCAGGATTCTGGCGTTTGTTCTAAGAATTATGACTTTAATCTCAGAATTCTGACTATTTTTCTCAGAATTATGACTTTAATCTCAGGATTCTGACTTTTTTATCAGAATTATGACTTCAATCTAAGAGTTATGACTTTTTTTCTCAGAATTCTGACAATTTTTATCAGAATTAGAACTTTAATCTCAGGATTCTGACTTTAATCTCAGAATTCTGACCTTTTTTTGTCAGACTGCTGATTTTAATCTCAGAATTTTGGATCTTAATCTTAAAGGGCACCCTGAAGGAATAGATGTGGGAACACTCAGATTCACTGACAAAGAAGTTGATTTGTTTGGGATGGCCAGTAACACATTGGTGTAAAATGATGGAATTAGGTGACTTTTTAAGCCCAAGGGGTCCCCGGTGATGCTATTTCATTAATGTTAAGAGCAGAAGGTGATTAAAACAAGAGAGATAGTTTAGTCTCTAGACAAGGCTACGGCTTGATGCTAATATGTTTTTTAGCTGTCAGAATTCATTCAGAATCCTGATATTAAAGTCAGAATTCTGATCTTTTTCCCATATTGAAGTGAAATAATATTTATAAATCAGTTAACATTTTTTTAGTACATTTCTGTATAATTTTCAGAGTAATTTTAAAGAACCTTATAACTTTAGGAAACCATCTGATGTAGGATACAAATTATAGACCGCTTGGACAAAACTTTAGCATAAAAAATTTCTAAAAAAAATAATAAAAAATAAATAAGGTTATTATTTCTTATTTAAAACAAGCCAAAAACAAATCAGGGATGTCTTAATTCTCCTCACAGTTTCACTGTGGAATAGAGGTTAAAGGTTGAATCTATTATCACATAAAAATCATATATTACAAATAATATCTGCTCTGAGTTTTTCACATTTGTGGAATGTCCTGCATTTCTCTAAGACAGTGGTGTCCTTTGTTGGTGTTCTATTTCGCATGTTGAAATTGCCGAGCCAAAAGTAACTAGCAGCTTCCTGCAAATGGAGTGGATTTAATATAGTTAAGAGTATGATATAGTTATAAGTACCGGTTGCATGTGATTTTATCCTCATCACTCTGACTGCATATAGAGAGGCTCCGACTACGCAGGGTGAGCAGATCCGATGTGTGCAGACTATTTTCACTGTTCCTGACGAATTGAAACACTGCCCCTCATTTGATTGGATCAGATTTTGAAAAGTTATTAAATAAATAAATAAACAGCTCAGCTATAGAACAAAGCTCCACTTAAGTCTGGGCAGCATCTCTTAAACCAGAACACATTGGAAACTTTACAGGCCTAAATTGAATAAAATGGGAACTCTGTTTAAAGAAACGGAAACCGCAGGAATAAAGGCTGTGGGACGGTTTATATGGGTAGTTGCTGATGCACCGAGAGGTGACTCTCTGACACCATCTGTGAAGTTTGTCAAAGTTTTTCTTTTGTTGTGTTTTATAAAGAAGGGAGAGGGATAAGCTGCAGTTACCTTAACTGTCCGTCACCCACTGTCTTTTTTTTTGTGTGGCTCAAAGAGGATCAATGTTTTACTATCTATTCTCCAAAAGTTTGTCAAAGTCTTTTTTTTTTCTCCTAGGGGAGTGAGAAGTTGCGCTTTCAAATCTTCCTCATTGATTTAGCGAGGCTAAAAGAGGATTACTATTTTATTCGTTTTCTGTCGACTGAAATGCTATCTTTGGTAAACTATTCTGTTTTATTGATCCTTTATGCATGAGTTTGCCCCACCTGCTCTATAGGTGCTTTGAAACTCCAAACCTTACTGTTTTCCTTAGCAATTGACAGATTTAGTTTTTGCATTTTCCCCCCAGTTAGATGTGTTTTACTTTGTAACCGTGCCTCCCTTCCTGGCAGACCCATGACAGTGCTGCGTAGTCCGACTAAATTAGACCTAGGGTCATTTGGAGTGACGCCAGCCGCCTGCAGAAAAACGTGTCAGTTCTGTTCATCCCCAATGACTCTAACTGAGGTTTATGGCTTTAGGATGAAAACCTTTGCAAAGCCCTGTAAGTGAGTCTTAGCTTATTCTAACCAACAAAATAAAATAAAGCTGTTTGCTCTGTTAAATCTAATGCAGAGTGAATCCACCTTCAGGTACTTCACTGCCTTCTCTTCCATCTCAGGCTGAGAATAACATCGAGCCCAAACAGGAGCCAGGTTGGAGGGGTAGAACTCAAAGTGTTTGGAGTGCGTCACCAGGTTGTAGTCAAACCAGGCTCCCCTCTCAGCGTCCCACAGCAGCGCCTCCATAGCCTTAGTCCTGCCGGCTGCAGCCTGGTCATACAGAGCGGCTGACTCAGTGTTACCTGTCAGGACACAGCATATCATTGTTATGTAACACCAGTTAGGAGCTAAAAGCAGTCTGCAGCAGCACCAAAGGTCAGAGGCTCACCCAGCAGTCGGTGGAACGAGGCCAGGGTTCTCTCATTGCGGCACAGCAGGGAGTTGAGGTCAGTGGGTAAAATCTGGCTGGTGCGGGTCTCTCGGAGGGTCCCGTCGTTGTGGCCGGTGCTGTTTATGAACCAGCGGGAGGTGAAGTCCCAACCAGACTCTGCACCTGCTTTTAGGTCCATCCACAGCTGCTGTTTGAGCTCTAAGGCCAGAGGGGAACATCACAGAGAGCCAGGCTGAAATTTACACATTCAAAGCTCAGCTCTGCTCTTTAAAAGAAACCAAAGAAATGAAATATGAGGTCTCACGCTGAGTCATGTTTACCTCTGCTGTACACCAGCTCTTATGAGCTTTAGCAAAAATATCTTTGTCAGGTGGAGGACTATAGGTGATGTTGAATATTTGTAATAGAGCAAACACCTTCAGGTGACAGAAAGATCATTTAAAGTAGCATTATAGACCAACGATGGCTCAGAGAATGGATGGTTTCCTCCCTGCATACATTATCTGAGAACATTTCTAATGTATCACAGCTTACTAAAGGGACGCATTCCAAATGCTGCAGAGCATCTATGACAACTTATCTCACCCTCACAGAAGAGAAATCGTTCAGCCAGACAGAAAAATAATTTTAAGAACCCATTACCATCAGAGAGTCCTTCAGCCAATTCCAGATCATCAGTGTAGGATTCAGGCCTGGAAGCAAAGACGGGGTTAATGAGGGTAAAGATGTGCTCTAATATACGCCCCCTTCTGCCTGAGCGTGCAGTCATGGTTAAAAGTTTACAGAATGACAAATAGTTTGTTTTTCCACACAAACTTTACTCCTTCAGTGTTATGAGATCTTTTTATTCCCTGAAACTCACTAATAATGAAGTATCTGGAAATCTTAAAAACTGTTCAGCTTTGCTATTCTTTCTAAAGAAGGACATTCAATCAGGATAATGCTGCCACTACCGTGTGTCACCATGGCCATAGTGTGCTCAGTGTGTTGTTAACTCTAACACGAATTTTATTGCATTTGGTATCCTTAGTCGTGCCTTGTTTGCTTCGGTTTGGAGATAACCTTAAACATGACTTCTTATAGCTCTATTTAATGACACTCTTCCATAAAAGCCTGAATTGGGTAGTGCATCACTAATGACTGTACTGGTGACAGATTCTCCAACCTTAAACATGATGCTCTGCAGCTCCTCCGAAGTCACCACAACCCTTGTGGCTAGATTTATGATTAATCCATTTACCAGACTGTCAGTTTAAGGTAAGGCAAATTTATTTATATAGCACTTTTAAATAGCAGTACAATTAAAAGTGCTGTGCAGGAAATAAGAAAATGGAACATAGGAAAATAATATTGAAGTGGCATAAAGTTAAATCAAACTATTGATAAGAAAAAGACAGGAGAGTTTGACGACAACATAACTAATAATTTAATAAATAACATTTTAACTTTGATTTAAAGCAACTTAGGGTTCAGCATTTTTACAGAGTTTTTTTCCCAGATTAGTACAAACCAAACTGTTTGGTTCTGGGTGTGCAAAATAGATTTGAGCCAGTAGACCTGAGAGGTCTGGTTGGTAGATACACAACGACAATTAACCTGTAACGTATTTTAGAGCTAACCTGTTTCATGATTTAAAGACATACAGAAGTATTTTAAGGTCTGTTCTCTAAGATACAGGGAGCTGGATGAAGGACTTTAGAAGTGGGCTTATGTGTTCCACTTTGTTAGGTTTTGTGACGCTGGTGACGGAAATATTTTAACATGACTTCTTTAGCTCTGGTGTATGTCAGGAGGTCCATACGCTACATGAACTATTATCATTAAGCATCTGCCACCTTTCTGAATACCTACTATTAGGCATTCAGAAATTAGGCAGATATAAGTACTACTAGTACTTATACCCGCCTTATAATAAAAGCAGATTGTGTCAGCAGTTCCTATAAGTAGTACTATATACTAATACTTATAGGAACTATTGACAAAATCTGCTTTTATTTTGTGTCCTTATCAAATTTGCTTTACTCTAATGGTCCTGTGGTATTGTGAGCTTACTTCTCTGGACTGGAGGCAATAAAGGAATGGTTTCAAAATGCGTTCCTCTTTCTCAGATACATTCATGAAACAATTCAGATCTTCTAGTTCTCAGCAGTCCAAGCCTGCTTGTTCTTGCTGATTTCTTTCTGTATTTGATGTGTTTTTTGTTTGAACTGGTGGCAATATTTGCAATTTCTTGTTCATCTTAGCATCGATTTGGAAGTTTGATAAATGGATGAGGTGCCTTTTTACTAGCAACAGTATCCTTGTATGTAAAGCTCTGCTGATGCAAAGTCACAGTTTCAGTGTAGGTAATAATGGTCCATAAAAGAATATTTTAGTTGCCTCTCTTAAATCAATGTCCTCAAGTATCTAGAGGAATAAAACAGTATTTTTCCCATTAATATTATGATAGAACATTATTTTCTTGATTCGTAGTGATATAGACCAGAGGCAAAACCATTACATATAAACTGAAGCAGTACATTTTGTGCAAACGAAATCTCCATCAGCCTCTGAGCTTTTTGCTACATGTATTGCAGCCATACCTGGGCAGGTCCGCCTCCACGATATACCGGTTCAGAACATGGTCTGACCCGCTTTCTTTCAAGGCCACAGAACGGTTTCGCATCCAGAACTCATACTCTTTCTCCAGAACTGGAAGAGCTTCTCTAAAATCAACAAGAGGCAATACTGGAATGAGGAAGAGTCAGAAAGGTGATGGTGTCACATTCTATCAAAGCTTGGTTGGTGCCCAGGAATCCACCAGCTCTTTAAATTCTTTCATGGTTTCACCCAGAATATTACCTGAGGAACTGCTGGTCCTTGGTTGCTTCATAGTAGCTCTCCACCATCAGCGTGAGGAATGGAGGCTGACTCCTCCTCTCATAGTAAATCCTCCCACCGTTTGGAACAAAGCCATACCTGTAGGAGTGGACAGTAATCTTTTTATTCTAGAGATGTTTAAATTCCCCTGAGAACCGTTTTTCTCCTCCTGAATGAACTTGAGATTCTGAGACAATTTAAAGCTTTACCTGTTGACGAGGAAGAGGAAGTTCTGGATCATACCATGGGCCGTTTCGGTCATCTCGGACAGGAGCAGTCCATTGATGACCCAGTAGGAGTCCCTGTTGGTTTTGAGACGAGAATCCTGATTGCCTGATTAGGTAACAACGATAATGCAGAAGGAGATGAGAGGTCCAACTGTTGGCTCACCAATAGTAGAGTTCCCTGAAGCGCCCGCCCGGCACGACAACAGGATGGGGGGTGTAAATCTGAGAGTAGAGCTCTGGATGGTCTTTGACATTATTTTGGATCTGGAGGAGAGACTTAATTATTCATCTATGGCACTGAGAGGAAAAACTTAAAGATACTGCTTCCATCCATCCAGATTATTTACAGTCAGTATTTAAAGTAACTAAATTTATATAATTAGTTTTTTTTTGTGTTTTAAAAAAACAAATCTGAATGCTCAGAAAAAGAACTTGAAAATCAGAGTGCAGTGCATTAATAATATATAAATACCACTAGAACTTTGTTCCTGAACAACGACTAATCAGGATTTTATATGAAGAATAAGTGCAGAGTCACACATGAGTGTGAAGTGGAACAAAATAAAACCAAAACAAGTCTGAATTGCCGCTGTAGTAATACAGTGAATAAGAATAAAAGTATTTATGTTCATCTGCATCACATCTTGAGCTATCTCTATAGTTATGTTGCTATAGGCTTAGGCCCCGTCCACACGAAGTCAAAACGAACACGAAACGCTGATATTTTCCAGAACGTTTGTCGTAAAGACGGAGACGTAAAATAAATGTGATCGTCCACACGAATGCATGAAAACGCTGCAAAATGTATGCCAGGCCTGTAAGTGGCGCTGTGGTGCCAAAGCAAAAATAAGCGACGAAATGTTGGGCATGCGCACTTATATTTATACATGGTTGCCCTGCGGGTCCATTTTCGTGGTTCAGTCAAATTCAGGTGCTGAACTATGTCGTCGATATTGCTCTGTTCTTCCTGGAGATATTCCAGAAGAAGAAGATTCTGTTGTAAGCCCGACAGCAGGGTGAGTAGCATTAGCAGCAACGGCGCCATTGTTGTTGTGATGTGTCGCGCATGCGTGTTTAGAGGCGACGCTATGATGCATGCGTGTAAAAAAAAATATGCGGTTAGAGCGTAAAGATGGAAACGCGAAAACGGCGTTTCGAAATCTTCCCACTCTGAAGGCTGAATAAAAAAAAGATCGTTTACAGACCCCCGAAACGCCGGCTTCGTGTGGATGAGAGGCTGGTTTGGTGAAAAATTTGTGCGTTTAGGCCAGGGTTCGTCTTCGTGTGGACGGGGCCTTAGACTGCTGGAGGACATAGGGTCCCTTTTTCATCCTTCTACTTCATTCTATCTCTATTCTCCCATTCTGCAAAATTTCCTGGATAGGGCCACCTGTGGAGCTGGTTGATAGTCGCTTTTTGTATCTCTGCTTCTGTCTCCTTGAACCCCAGTCGGCCTCGGCAGATGGCCGCTCACACTGTGCCTAATTCTGCTGGAAGTTTCTTCCTGTTAAAAGGAAGTTTTTTCCTCTCCACTGTCGCTGCAAGCATGCTTGGTATGAGGAATTGCCTTCAAGTCAATGAGTCGATGCAATCAACTGGTTTTCCTTAGATAGACAACTTTAAACAAGTTTGACTGCATGATCTGGTCGAATTGTCTCTGTTAAGTCCTTTGAGATGACAAGTGTTGTGAATTGGTGCAATATAAACTGAATTGAATTGAATTTCATCTCAGAGTAAAGGGGGATAAACACAAATACACATCAGATATCTATTTAGAAAAGGTTAAAAAAGTATTTTTTATTTCCTGCAAACTAGACCTTTAAATCCCCATCAAAAACATTGTAATTTGTGTCTGTAATTTTCCAAAATGTGAAATAGGAGGCGGCTGCTTTAAGTCTGACTGAAGCACAGGTCAAAAAATACTTTTGCAGACTCCTGCAAGTGGAAACGAAGAACCTCCCAAAGGCTAACTTTATTAATGTTGTAAATATTGTTGACTATAACTCATCTAAGAGGAGAATCTGACAAACAGCTTCAAAACTTCCTTCTCATCACCTTTCTGCCGAGAGACTTCCACAGATTGTGAATCTCTTCCCCCCACATCCGCAGCTTATCATCTGCTATTCCGCTCAGGAACTTGGGCCTGAATGAAAGAGGCACTTTTTATCAACCAGCTTCTGTAATAAAACCATCGATCTAAGCAGGACAGCTTTATCTTACTTTTCGTGCCAGTCTGTTGGTATCCACGTCTCAAACTCTGTTCCTGGTTTCTCAAAGTTTGCATCAAGAAACTCTTTGAGTTTTGTGGCAGGGATGGAGGAGTTTGGCGATTCATTGGAGAGGAGTTTAAAAGCTGCCAAAACATCAGCTGTAAAGGATTTTAAAAATGATATTAGCAGGCGACAGGGGGATGTAATCAAGGTGTTTTAGTGAGCAGAGACTCACCAGGAGCTGACTTCAGCTTCATGTCAACAAAGTACTTGTCATCATCAAACAGCTTAGCTTCTTGGACCTGATGCAGGATGGGTCCTGAGCAGTAGATTTCACTGAAACAAGGAGGGAACCATTAAGATCGTCCAACTGGAGTGTGATAAATCACCATCAGCTGTGCTATAAACAAGCAAACTGCTGTAAAGGTGGACATTAAAAAACTTTCCATTTCAAGCACATTACCTCAATGTACGACAAAAATATGTCAATTTATTTGACATATTAAATAAACCGACAAAGTGGTTAATAAAAAAAAAATCTAATAAGCATGGTTTTATTATTTTATTTTGGTTCACAGCAAATAAAAAACTCCATTCCATCCAATTTACATCACGCTTATCCCAAGTGGGATCACGAGGGGTGCTGGTGCCTATCTCCAGCTGCCTAGTGGCGGGGTACACCCTGGACAGGTCACCAGTCCATCGCAGGGCAACACAGAGACAAACAGGACAAATAACCATTCATAAACACACTCAGACCTAAAGAAAACTTAGAGAAGCCAATTAATCTAACAATCATGTTTTTGGTCTGTGGGAGGAAGCCAGAGTACCTGGAGAGAACCCACACATGCTAAGGGAGAACATGCAAACTCCATGCAGAAAGACAGCAGGCCGGGAATTGAACCCAGAACCTTCTTGCTGCAAGGCAGCAGTGCTACCCACTCAAATATAATAAATAGAAACCTGACAATGATATTTAAAAAAAGATCCCACTTTCTACCAATAAAGATAAAGGGATTTTTAACTAAAAATATAGTGCTATTAACATAGAGAAAGTCTGCTCACGGTAATCATCTACAACTATAAAAGTCAGGGCTAAAGAAACAGGCTGTTAGGGGAGCAAATATCTAAAATTTATGGGAATTTATGTTAAAGAACAATGTTTGCTATTACAAAATGCAGAGTTTGACTATTTCACTTATGAAATAGTCAAAGTTTATTACAAATAGAGTTAATGATGTGTCTTAATGTCTGTTAGAGTTAATGTAAAAGACAGTCCTTAGTTGACAGACACTGGGGAGGGTTGCAACTCTTCATGACTGAACCTGACAATCTACTCCTGTTATTGTACTTAGTTGTGATTCTACAAAATCAACCCAACATCACCAGTCTTCATTGTTCATCCTTTATAAAAATAACATTTAGGTTCACATTTTTAATGAGGGCGATGATGGCGACCCAGCAGTGCAGGCTTGGTGGAGCCAAAGGCTACAAAGGACACATTCTGACCACGGTACTCTTAAGTTGCCAAATGATCTGAGGTTCTCTTTATCAGGGTTCCTACAGCATAAGGCAAGTTAAATTCAAGACTTTTAAAGACTTTTTAATGCCACTTGAAATAAAAATTTAAGCCCAAATTTACAAGAAACAAGAAAAACCTGCTTGCGACAACTTAACCCAAAGGTTTATTTCAACATAAATCACTGCACTAATGTTTCAAATTTTGAAATACTTCCCATACAGGAAGAAAGCTAAAAACAAAGAAATGACAGAGATATAACAATTATTTAACTGAATTCACAAACTTTGTTTTAGCAGGGAACAAAAATCAGTTTTAAAGCCACAACATAACCAGTGCTAAGTGTTTTTTGCAGCTATTTTTCTTTGTATGGTTTTCTTAGTATGTTTGATTTGGTGATAAGTGGAGGCGTCATATTGCAGAGACAAGGGTGGAACAAAAACCGAGAAGTTTCATGCTTCGCATGTGTGACTTCCCTGCCTTAACTCCCATCGTTCCGAGGTTGAATGACTTCTTGCACAAACTCCACTGTGCCTCATGTATGTTCCCAGGTTTTAGCAATGGAGAAAACTCTTGGCTGGATAACCAATTTTCATTACATTTACACTTGCTCATATTTTCCAGACAAAAAGTTAATGGCGCATCTCCTAAATGTCCCGGCCGCAACAACGCTTTTATTATTTCGCTACCGGGACGGAACCAATAATGGCGAGCCATTTTTTTTTTTTAAATAGAGAAAAAATTTTTTTTTTATAATTTTAATGTTTTATTTAGATTACAAAAATAAATCGTAATAAAAAGGATCCTATTTAGGTTTTAAAAAATAAGACCTACGAAAGACTAATTTAAGACATTTTAATACCAATTAAGGCCTTAATTTTTTTTGAAGAATTCAATGCCTTTTAAGGACCCGCGGGAACCCTGTTTATGTAGTCTCCATCTCGGTTTCTTTTTCCTTCCACTGCCTAGCCTGCTTTAAATTAATCAAATAAGTCATTTTTAATTATAACTTGGAAAGGTGCAACACTGTCGGCCTGTCAGCCATTGTTTACCTAGCTGTATTAGCTTTTTCACAGGGAATTAGTTGAGGAAACATGCTCATATTTGCTATATTTACAACTGAAAACATGCATAGCTGCTATTTAATTTCAAAATAATTTGTATATTGGTAAAACAAAAAAAAATAAAAAACTTTTAAATGTCAGTTTGAAGGTTTTTACTTCAAATGAAGTATTCCAGCATTCAGCCTCAACTTTCACCATGTGAGCTTTAGAGATTGCTGCTTTACAGGTGCTGGTCATAAAATTAGAATATCATGAAAAAGTAGATTGATTTCAGTAATTCCATTTAAAAAGTGAAACTTGTATATTATATTCATACATTACATACAAACTCATATATTTCAGATGTTTATTTTGTTTAATTTTGATGATTACAAATGACAACAAATGAAAATCTCAAATTCATCATATCAGAAAATTAGAATATTGTGAAAAGGTTCAAAATTGATGGCCCCTGGTGCCACACTCTAATCAGCTAATTAACTCAAACCACCTGCAAAAGCCTTTAAATGGTCTTTCAGTCTAGTTCTATAGGCTACACAATCATGGGGAAGACTGCTGACTTGACAGTTGTCCAAAAGACGACCATCGACACCTTGCACAAGGAGGGCAAGACACAAAAGGTCATTGCTAAAGAGGCTGGCTGTTCACAGAGCTCAGTGTCCAAGCACATTAATAGAGAGGCGAAGGGAAGGAAAAGATGTGGTCGAAAAAAGTGTACAAGCAAGAGAGATAACCGCACCCTGGAGAGGATTGTGAAACAAAACCCATTCAAAAATGTGGGGGAGATTCACAAAGAGTGGACTGCAGCTGGAGTGAGTGCTTCAAGAACCACCACACACAGACGTATGAAAGACATGGGTTTCTGCTGTCGCATTCCTTGTGTCAAGCCACTCTTGAACCACAGACAGCGTCAGAAGCGTCTTGCCTGGGCTAAAGAGAAACAGGACTGGACTGCTGGTGAGTGGTCCAAAGTCATGTTCTCTGATGAAAGTAAATTTTGCATTTCCTTTGGAAATCAAGGTCCCAGAGTCTGGAGGAAAAGAAGAGAGGCACTTCATCCACGTTGCTTGAAGTCCAGTGTAAAGTTTCCACAGTCAGTGATGGTTTGGGGTGCCATGTCATCTGCTGGTGTTGGTCCATTGTGTTTTCTGAGGTCCAGGGTCAACACAGCCACATACCAGGAAGTTTTAGAGCACTTCATGCTTCCTGCAGCTGACCAACTTTTTGGAGATGCAGATTTCATTTTCCAACAGGACTTGGCACCTGCACACAGTGCCAAAGCTACCAGTACCTGGTTGAAGGACCATGGTATCCCTGTTCTTAATTGGCCAGCAAACTCTCCTGACCTTAACCCCATAGAAAATCTATGGGGTATTGTGAAGAAGAAGATGCAATACACCAGACCCAACAATTCAGAAGAGCTAAAAGCCACTATTAGAGCAACCTGGGCTATCATAACACCTGAGCAGTGCCACAGACTGATCGACTCCATGCCACGCCGCATTGCTGCAGTAATACAGGCCAAAGGAGGCCCAACTAAATACTGAGTGCTGTACATGCTCATACTTTTCATGTTCATACTTTTCAGTTGGCCAACATTTCTATAAATCCTTTGTTTTTATTGGTCTTCAGTAATATTCTAATTTTCTGATATGATGAATTTGAGATTTTCATTTGTTGTCATTTGTAATCATCAAAATTAAACAAAATAAACATCTGAAATATATGAGTTTGTATGTAATGTATGAATATAATATACAAGTTTCACTTTTTAAATGGAATTACTGAAATCAATCTACTTTTTCATGATATTCTAATTTTATGACCAGCACCTGTAGATGATTGATGCCGACTGTGTTAGTGACCCGTTTTCCCTCCATTTAATCAACTTTTGTGAGAAATATAAAAGGTGCTAGATAAACTGATTCAAAACAAATCTTTGTTTTGAAAATTAAAATTTTTTAAATTAACATTTTTTTAAATTAAAGTTGACAAAGATTAAAAGCTTTAGGCAGAGGATCTACAATAACTTATGCCCTAGTGGCTTTTCGTAGCAATAATATAGGTTTTATGAGGCTTTGAGTTTGAATTAAAAGATAAGAAAAAAAAAGCTTTTTTTTTTATAGTTGCGGCCTAGCGGTTAGGGCATAGAGCTTGGAATCCTGAGGTTCTGAGTTTGAGCCCCACTCCCACAGACTGCCCGTGTCTGAGCAAGACCCTTAACCCAACACTGCTCCCCGGGCGCTGCACGATGGCAGCCCACTGCTCCCTAAGGGGATGGGTTGGATGCGGAGGTAAAGGTCTCCAAAGTGAGATCAATAATGTTCAGTTAGTTACAAGGTGTAAAAATAGTTCTGTTGACAAACTACCATCAATCTAATGTTGACTCAAAGTTTAAAAGAAACATGGTCCTGCTTCAGAGGTTAAAATGGAAAAGCACAAAATCCAAGTAGCTTTTATAGTAGGCTGATATTTCAGAAGCAAATACCTTTTGTGCCTATGAAATGCAAGTAAAATCTTTAGACTAAAATCATCACTAATTAGTTGAATCATTGGCAAATTTGGCTTTACGCAATTCATCACATACCGACACTATTAAGCTACGTCTGCATAAGTTGCAACATTTTCTGAAGAGAAATAAGCAAATTAAGAAAAACATGCGAAAACTACTTTCTTTAAATCTTATCACAGGTGTCAAGGTGTTGTATAAGGTTTCCTAGCAGTAATGTTATGATCACAAGCATGATTATGCTCATAAAACACCTCTAACTTATCAGAATGGACTTTGAAGAAAAAAAAGCTGCAGATCACCAAGATATGGAGCTCATTAACCATTGTACTGATAAAGGTTTTCCATTTAAACATTAAAAGTCAAGGTTAGTTTTGCTCTTAATTAGTGCAAAAATAAAATATCCTCAAAAATTAAGTTTTTGCCACTTCTGTGGAGCAAGAGAAGCCATTTAGGTAATGATAGAAAACAAATTACCAGCTTAACAACTGGGAAAGAAGACACTTTGGGATTTGAAAAAAGGTTAAAATATTTGAATTGAAGTTAACAGTAAAACAGCTTCAAAGATTATGCTAGTTACCTACCTGTCACATGGAGGCAGCAGTAAACATCTCCCAAATGCTAACAGAGTTATGAATGAAAAGCAAGGGAGCACCAGGTTAACCATCCTGAGAGAAGAGCTGAAGTTAAACTCCAGAATAAAGGAAACTGCTTCCAGATCAGTTTATATCCGTGACCCAAAGTCCAGCCAGAAGGCCGACACTTTGCCCCCTAGCTTCTGTTTAACAGGGTAATAAAACAAATACACGTCAGGCAATAAATTTCAGTGAGCTTTATTTTTTTTCCGAACAAAAACTTAATCCAATAATATTCATCACATTTGAAAATGTAAAATTTTCTCACTGAAACCAGGCCAATTATATCAAATAAAAATAAACACGTTTTAAATTTCACATAAATTTGGAGTCTGTTTCTTAAATCCCTATATTCCCGATTTTTCTTTTCCTCCTCAATTGCCCACTTGCCCCTCCCACTCTTACCGATGCATTTGTGTAAAAAAAGACCAATTCTCTCAAGTGTGTAGAGACGGATCCAGATAAACAAGTGCATCAGGGCAGCAAATGCTCCAAATTACCCACCCCAAATTATTTTAGAACCATACAGACCGAGACAAATCGTTTCTATTCTCAATTAATGACCAAATCTGAAGTAAGATGCTCCTGTCTCAGTCTATAGGGTTTAATCCATGAAGGCCTCAGGCAGTAAGGCGGCTTTCAACCAATTAACCACACTGAAGCTTTTAGACTTTATAACCAGTCTGTAGCCATTACTGCCAGAAGCCTGCATAGACACAGACAGCTGCCAGGTGTCTGAATGTCATCCCTGTTCACTCGGTAATGCTTAAGTTTGCTTTGGATTTTTTTTAAGTTTCTTTTTAAGTTCCTCCCACCTCCAATGTGACCCGAATAAAGCAAATAAAGACTTTCTGGGACAAAACCGTGAGAGCAGGGATCAGAGTGTAAACCAATGAGATAGAGGGAAATAGTTTATTTTTTCCTCATTGGCTAACAGAGCATCTCACCAATAATCAGGGGAAACTTGTTTGTAAAAAGGTTCGCTGAACAGAAAGTTCGCCGAACTTTCTGTTCAGCGAACTTTCTGTTCAGCGAACTTTCTGTTCAGCGAACTTTCTGTTCAGCGAACTTTCTGTTCAGCGAACTTTCTGTTCAGCGAACTTTCTGTTCAGCGAACTTTGGGGCTTCTGCCCCCCCGAAGGAAGTGATGCAGCCAAGCTTAAACGTGGCATAAATCAAAGTAACAGCAAATAGCTTCCCTTCACAAAACAAAAACAGCCAATTAAGCTGCGCCGCAGCAAGAAGCATTTCTATGCGGTAGATTATTCCGCTCGCTATGATAAATCAGTCCTGCAGTTAAGATTCACAGACCTGGGCTGGTAACCAAAAATATTAATCAATCCAAATACACCAGCCTAGGGAAGCCATCTGTTGAGACTGTGCTTGTTAACACTGGTAGCAGGAGAGAATAAGGGCATCTTTTAAACACTTTAAGTGCACATTTTTGGAATTGCACCTTCAAACTTTAAAGTACTAAAAAGAAAATTACAGATTAACCCAAAAACATTCTATGACCAACATCATTTAAATGCTTTTGCATTCTATAAAATTATAAATAAGCTCCCGGGCCAATATTGCAGGACAAAAGCTGGCAGTTGAGGAAATGATCTCCAGTGCTAACAAGAGAATTGGTGCGAGCAGCTTTTTAGTTTGCCAGCCAGTTACATTTTTTTCTAAAACAATCTTAAAATAAAAGTATGTACAGAAGGAGAAAGCTGAACCCCACATGTCGGCTTCATGTCTTGCAGAATAAGGTATGGCCATCCATAGGAAGGGGGGGAGGAGGAACAGGACAAACGAAGAAAAACAAACATTTTCTCCAAAGAAGCACCACTGAAACAGGAATCTTGACTCATGGTGGTTCTCTGGCTGCTTTTTTGACTTTTAGTGTTCTGAGGCTGAAGACAGAGGAAAGGATCAGGGTCTCTGAGAAGCAGGAGCTTCACCACAAGCTACCGAGCAGTCTGGCCGTCTCTTGGAGGGTAAGGAAAAAAAAAAAAAAAAAATCCAGTCTCTGCTCAATGAAAATCCAAGTTTTCCCTCATTTATCAGCCAGAATCAAAATCCACTGAGCCAGCGCTAAGAGTTAAATCAGACCAGCTTCCCTCACAAAACATGACCCAACCAACCAACCAAAACTGGTTATGAATTCATCCCGCGGATCAAACATGGACTGTAACAAATTCTCAATACGGTGAACATGTGGCGTGAAGTGAGTAAAGTGGAGGACGATGACGGGTTATTACTTCAGAACATGTGGAGCTGCTTGTTAAGGCACTTGTTACAAATTGGATAAAAGTTTAACGTAAAACATGCAGAATGGAGGGTTTCCTTCCAGGGTCTGTCGGGGCTGGCTTTGTTTTCAGTGGTGGATATGAATCAGTCATCTATACGCACATATCTCTCCGTTTGGTCCCACGCTTTCCTCTTGGTGCTCATGTCTTCAGTATGTTGCAGTGCAGCACAAAGCCTTTAAATAAGGCAGATGAGTTCTTCCAAAAAGTGTCTGTTTCCAAATGCTGTCCTGATGGTGGCTTCCAGAAGAAAGAAACTGTACAAAAACAAATTTGAAAAGAAAAAAAGTCCAGGAGAAACAGGGTGAAGAAGGATTTGAAGGGGAGCGAAGAATAGGTTGAAAAATGGAGAATCTGTGAAAAGAAAAGAAAAACAAATAAGCTTTCTGATAGAAGCAACCCAAATCCTTTACTTTCAATAAATCCTTTGAATACAGATTTAGCTTCTTTTTTTTTTTTTTTTAAACAGCCGGTCAGAAAATGTAAGTTCCTGAACAAGAAAATGTTTAAATCCATGAGTCTTCCCACATCTCATTAAAACAACTTCAGCAAATTTGACTGAGATTTCTTCAGATGGAACAACAAAGTACATGGAAAGAAAATGCATGTTTATTTCAATTACCGATTTAAATAAATGCATTTTATTGATCCATTAACCTTCCTTTACTTAAATAAAACGCAGTGCAACAAATTAACCAAGTGACAAATGGAGTAAATGAGCAAAAATCGAGCCGTCTGTGAAGATCCAAGAGAACACTAATGAACAAACTGCATCATGGCAAGACAGGATGGTTAGGCTAAAAAGGGCCAGAAATCCCTTTCAGTTTATAGTTTTAAGTTGCACAAAGGTTTATCCTTCTACTAAAAGGCACTGAATGCACTTAATGTAATGAAGGTACCTACAGCCTCACTGCTTGACCTCTTCTCCACTCTCGCTGTGGTATTCTGCCACGTACAAGCTCTTGTCGATGATTCCAGGGATGGGCTTGATCTCTGTGCCGAGCTGCTCCTCAATCGCTTTAAGGTTGAAGCGATCGTCGTATGTGATCAGGTTGATGGCCAAACCCAGGTGGCCAAAGCGTCCTGGGAAGGAGGGAAATCAGTCCGTCACGTTAATGGACCAACAGAATGTCTACTTCAGGAAGGATCTCTGCGGGCCCTTACCAGATCGACCAATGCGATGAAGGTACGTCTCTCCCAGCTTGGGAAAATCAAAGTTGATCACAACATTCACAGCTTGAATGTCAATTCCTCTTGTGAAGAGATCTAAAAAAAATAAGACGGTACATTTATTCACTATGGAAATGCGTTTATCAAGCAAACACAATAGCTTAACAGCCGAAAGAAAACCGCTGCCAAATGAGTCATATTGAAAGACTTGTTTGTTTCGTTTCAGCGCATTTAAACCCACAGCTCAGTTATGAGAAATAAGCTCCAAACTATAAAGCTACAGTAAATCCCACATCAATTTATGTTGGCATTTGCATTTCAAGACCACATCTATAAACCATTCAGGAAAATACTCAGATAAACTGTAGAGCATCCTTCAGATACCACAAAAAAATATATATCATCCTGCAGGATGATGCTGAATTCACAGGTGGGATAACTGGGTGAATGTTTATATAAATACGAGTACTCAGCCAACACTGCAGTATAGAACGCAAGAAGGAAAAATACAAAAATTACAATGCAGCAGTTATGAGAACCGGGAAGATAAGGTGCAGCATTAACATGCATGTTCACAGCCATCAACAGGAAATTACAAAGTATCAGGCTGAGTAATTACTGAACGCATTCAGAACTTACTGCAGGCATTTGAGGGTTAAATATGTGCCTGCAGAACAGGTTTAGAAAATTCCAGGGCCATAGTGCATGTTTAAAAATGGCGTGGACTCCTTCATGCTGAAGCATGTAATCTAGCGTCCATTTTCAAAACTTTAGATATCAGACAAACAAAGATTCTGCATATGATTTAAGCTGCATTAAAACTGTAAGCAGGAAACAGTGAAGTAAAAACCATATGTGGAAAATTAATCAAGCAAGAGAAGTTTTATCGCGTTAGAGGAGCATCATGTAGTCGGATGCTTCACTTACCAGTGCAGACAAGGTTTCGGCACAGCCCATTTCGAAAGTCGTGGAAAACACGGTTGCGATGTTCCTGAAAAATAAGGAATCTAAACTGCATAATCTGTGTTTAAATAAGCCAACAAACTGACATTACGGATATGTTACCCAACGCCATTTAATCCTAATGTTCTGTAATAAAACAATCTACCTGTAACTGCATCCTGCTGGATCAGTAGATTTAATAGCTTAATGTACCGATTTAACCATTTAGTTCAGCATTCCAGGTTAGAAATAGAACAAGGAAGTTATGTTTTACTAAAAAGTACAGATCTTTGTATTGGTTGTTTTATTACATCCGTGTCTTCAACAGTTACCCATAAGAGTGATGCAACAGAGGTTTTACAGCAGTTTAGGTGATTATCTAAGGAACCAGACACTGAAAATATACACCCGCAGCAGTTTACAGTGGTGTAATATGCTCAACCATTCACAGGCAGCTGGCTTCCTACCAATATTTGGAGACTACGATCAGCTGATACAGCAGCTGCCTTCCAAAAGGAGAAGTTGTTTGGCCTTAGTAAAGAGACTGACAGAACTGAATATCTTCAGTAATGTTTTAGATTAAAATCCAACTAAACTGAGTCAGACTGACGAGCAGTTGCCTTCCAAAGCTCCGACCATTTTCTTCACAAATTAATTTATGTTTGTTTACAAATGTTCATTATATTTATACATCCTTACTCTGAAAATATTAAGTCAACGGCAAAGCAAATTTCAACAGAAACCTAATTAAAACACATTAATTAATGCATTAACAGGAAGTTAACATTTTCTTTATGATAGGAGCTCAGTTTGCTTTAGAGTAAATGGGCTAATCTGACAATAATCTACGAGCAATTAATGACTCTAAAAGAGCCCTTTCCTTTATGCTTTAGTTTTGCTCTGGGTAAAAACTAAGCAGTATTTTTTGGCATTAAATGACCCCTTCTTCCTTTGGTTCCTTGATGGGCAGTAATTTGACTGACCTGTCTCATCTTGGCATGAATGTAGAAACATGAATAACCAAGCTGGGAAATCTTCTTGGCAAGAAGCTCCACTCTCTGAGAGGAGTTACAGAAGATTATAGACTGGTTGATTTGGAGCTGAAAACAAAAGAAAACGAGATCAGTGTTTAGAAAGCAGAAGCTCTACCCAATAAAATGTTCCACATGGACGAGAGAAACTACAGTAGAGATGAGATTATTTAGAAAAAACCCTTGGAACACTATAAATCAACTATTGTCAGTACATGAAATAGGATTAGGGAGGTGTGGAGCCAAGACCTACCCTGGAAAATAAGGTGTTGAGGCAATGGACTTTTTGCCTTTCCGTTACATAAGCATAATACTGAGTCACCCCCTTCAGTGTAAGCTCCTCCATTAGGTTGATCTCATATGGTTTTTGCAAGTGTGCGTTCTATAAAAAAAAGAACAAAGCCATGGTTTATTGCACAGGTTAGACCCAGTTTTTTTACTGCCTCAATTACTGTCAGATTTAAATACATCTGATGAAACTGTACCATAAATTTCTGCACACTGAGAGGGAAGGTGGCAGAGTAAAGTAGAATCTGCCTCTGTTTGGGCAGGAAGCCCAGCATCTCCTCCATCATAATCACAAAGTCCTGAGACAGGAGCTTGTCAGCCTTTAAGAAAAACAAAAACATTTGGTTTTAAGTAGAACGTTTTATTAAAAACGAGAAACAAAACACCTGAAACCAAAAATACTCACTTCATCCAAAACAACCATCTGTACTTGATTGACTTTAGCCACTCCTTTCTTGATCAGGTCTAAAATCCTCCCAGGAGTTGCAATAACCACATGTACTGGAAAACAAATACATTTTGCACTAAATGTCAACAGTTCATCAAAAGCTCAAATTTGAAGAGCCAATGAAAGTGGTTATAATTTTAAAAAAAGCTTTGATTTTATCAAGCAGGTTTCTTTTAATCCCAGATTAATTCATTTTGTTTACAGGCTTGTCCTTCAGGAAAACACAGCACTATTAAATCAATATCAGATTATAAATCAAGTGCAAAGATTACCCGTTTCATCGAGCCTCATGATGTCATCACGGAGGTTGGTTCCACCTGTGGTCGCCATCACCTTCACACCACCCATGTGTTTACTGACCTGGATACATATTTGGCTCACTTGCAGTGCCAGTTCTCTGGTGGGCACTATGACTAAAGCTAAAAACAAAGAACATCCATTAGGGAACAAAGTTAATCCCTGCTGTTAATCTGAACATTTACCTCATTAAAGTCAGGATAAAGCAGCTGCACAGCACAATATGGTCAAAAACAAAAGTAGCCTTATACTGTACAGAGAATTTTATGCTCTTTGCTTTTTTCCCCACATTACCACTACAGTTTAGTGGCTCAACAGAATAATCTTTAATATTTCTTTTGATTGCATCCTAATCAGAATACAATTATGGTTTCATGAAGCCTAGAGATACAGATGTCCTGCTGATCAATGTCATCAAATTTCCCCTTCAACTGCAGCTTTTTCAGATATGTAGTCAAGTTATCTGTCATGCATTTCTGCCTGGCCACTGAACCAGTTGAGTCCAATCTGCACAATTTAATTCACTGTGCATGCGGGACACCAAGTGTTAAGAATGCATTTCATACAGGAAATTACATACAAGTCGCATATATTTGGAAATGATAACCAGACAAATTTCACAAGAAAATCTGAATTAAGCATCAAGGCCTGCAGAGTGAAGGTAGCCATAGAGATAATTTGATTTGGCTTCCTTACACTGGCTGCCAGTACGTTTTAGGATTGATTTTAAAATTATTTTATTTGTTTTTAAAACTCTTAATGGCCTTGCCCCTTCTTATCTGTCTGAGCTGTTGCATTCTTACACACCCTCCCGTTCCCTCAGGTCAGCTGATCAGTTGCTTCTGAGGGCAAAGACAAAATGCAAGCTCAGAGGAGACCGTGCTTTTTCTGTGGCAGCTCCTAAGCTGTGGAATGATCTGCCTCTGAGCATAAGACAGGCCTCTTCTCTTGCTGTTTTTAAGTCCCTTCTTAAGACTCATCTTTTTTCCTTGGCTTTTGACACAATTTGAGAGGTTTTACTTAGTTTTATTTTCTTTGTATACTAATGTATTTTACACTCTTTTTTTTCCTATTTTATAATTGTATTGTATTTTATGATTGTGTACAGCACATTAACAATGTTCTACCATAGCTGGCCTATTAAATGAAAAGGGAAGTTTAATATAGATCAGAAAATTTGATTCCATCCTTTGGAGCTGTTAACCTCTTCCTGTTAATTTTTTTCTGAAACTATATAATTTTTTTAACAGAGACTGGGCTCTGACATGCGATGTGACATCACTTTGGTTCCAAAAACAAAAGATTGCTCAGGGCAAAAGGATAGAAAAACATTCTGAAAGCTGATCAACATTACCAAACCTTCATATAAACAATGAGCAACCACAGCGGTGAGAGTTTATAGGTTTGCTTTACCTAGAAATGTAAAGGACCGAGCTCCTGAAGATCAACAGCCATCTGATAAAGACCACCTGCTTCTGTGGGATATCCGGTAAGTCTACCCACCTATTTAATTCCAACTCCCAACAAATATCAGGGGATTTCAGGGGAAATGCATCCAATGTCCATAAATAAACGATATCAAAAGCAATTTCATGGACTCAAATTCAAACATTTACATGCTGTAGTCCAGGAGAGCTCGTCATTGCAATGTGGCAATTTTCCCAGTCCTATATGGCTCATCTGTCAAGGTTTTTTTTGTTTTTGAAAAAACATTTTTTAAACTATATCAACTGTTGGCTGCATTCAAATTTATCCAGGACCTTTTACACATAATCAGTCCATTTTGTTTTCTTAGCAAAGCCCACATGTACCCCATAAACCCACCTCCGATAGAGGAAAGTAACAGCCTCAACTGCACAGCTACATGATTTACTCAGAATTTTTAATTTGCGGTACGGCTGGAGTGCAGCTCCACACTGTACCAACGATTAGAGCCAAGATAAATAAAAATGAATTAAGTTTGACCTTCAGGAACAGGGGGATCAACTTGAGGCTTCAGCTGCCATCTTATTCAGGAATTCAGTTAATATTAAACTAAAATCTAAAATGATCAAACTTTTAAGGTTATGTTTGCAAACATTTTGTTGCGTCACTTTTTGCAATGCTGCTGCATTTTCTTCTCTTGATGCTGAACTAGTTGGTTACTGATTGCAACCAGGATGCATCTGGAGAATTTGGATGAATTACATTTAAATGAGTGCAGGGAAGCTCACCTTGTAAACAATCTTTCTTCAGGTCAATGCGCTCAAGAAGGGGAATGAGGTAGGCTCCACTCTTTCCTGTGCCATTCTTGGCTCTGGCTAAGATATCCCTTCCTGACAGTGCAATGGGAATGCTTTCCTCCTGCGCAGAAATAAAACAAACTAATTAAAACACAAATCTCTTTATGCTTCACAATAAAAACTTTTTCCAGAAAAAAAACAGCCTTTTTTATCATTAAATACTTCAATGTAGGAACCAAATTTTTTATTAACCGATTGATCTTCGTACTTTTTAGTTGAACATTTTTCAAGTTTTAAGACTTTGAAGATATTTTAAGTTCCTGTCTGATCCTTTGCTTGAAAGGACTAAAATCACCCGTGTAAATTGCAAGATCAAGACGAAATGTATCAGATAAAATAAAATCTTTGAAATCATTATTCTTCATGGGTTCAGTATTTAAACAACAAAAAAATGTCAGTTCAATTACATTAAGATGGATAATAAATTTAGGGTAAACTTTCATTTCTTGTAGTCCAAGCAGATTTGCATTTAATATATAGAAAACCAGTTTAGTAGTAAAATTAATGCAATGATGAAAACAAAATGTTATGTTTGATGGTCATGTTCCCAACAGGGATTTTAATTTAAAAAAAAAGTTTTTTTTTTTTTTTATCAAACTAAAATTTAAAGTAGGATGACAACCAGTCAGTAAATAGATTATGTTGAAAACAGTGGCCAATGTAAGAGTTTGAGAAGGAAAATGGTTAACATCCAGGTTGATCATTTTAAATAAAATACTGTCAAAGTAACAGGTTTAATGTGTGATGTAACATTGCAAACCCATTGATCTGACGATCAAGTAGTTAACTATTGTAAACCTGTACTAAACTGTACCTGAATTGGAGATGGCTTTTCCCAGCCCATCTCAAAGATTCCCATAAGTAGCTCCCTCTTCAGGCAATAATCTTCAAACTCATTGCCTTTAGTTGCAGTCACATCCTGCAGTCAATTAAAAAAAAAAAAAAAACCAGTCAGCAATAGACTTACAGAAAGCAGTGAACTCTTTTTACCCTTGAAATATTTCATATATATATATATATTTTACTGACCGATGTTTTAATTCTCATGTCCTTTGGAGGCACTTTCAAATTCTTTTTCCAGTCATCTCCAGGCCTGTGTATAAAGACAAACATTAGGTTGGCAAAAATCCAAAGAACCTTTATAAATATGTAGAGGACAAACAAAGATTTAAAGATCATGCTTTTTAAGGATTATGACCCAACTCCATCTTGGGAGGTTGATAGAAATAGGCATCACTGCTTAATTTCAAGCTTTATGGTTTATTTCAGAAGGGGATTCTTAGTTTAATAATTTAATGAATATAGGGGGACCTTTGTCCTGGTGATTACTGATCAGACCAAACCGAGTGAAAAGTAATTTGGTGTATTTCCATCTTTTGCTTATACTTACTTGATAACAGCATTTGTTGGAGGGGCTGGCTGGGAATTGCCATTTATTGTGCCTTTAATCATCTGGTTTATCTGTGGCTGTTGAAGACCTCCACCTGGAGCCCCTGTAGGTTTCACTGAGCCTCTCAGCTGTCCATTCTGGTTGGACAAACCCAAGATCACTGGATTCTCTGTCCTGGTGGTGCTCATTTTTACTCTTCACACCGATTATTTATTTATTTTTTATTTTTTAACAGTCTCTAAACTAGGTGAGCCCACTCAAATGGGACGTATCAAACTCAAGATTGCCCTTGCCTTATCAATAAATCAAATTACTCTATTTCTCATTAAAACGAATTGGGCATCAAGCATTAAAGTTAAATAACTGCTTAGCAAAGGGTTAATCGGCCAACTTTATCTGGATTCGACACATCGGGCAGGCTTTTAAACGTTGGCATACTGCTCAGTTAGCTCAACCGGGCCTCCGTGTCCTTTCAAGTCTGTCCAACCCTAAAACATAGAAAAAAAAACAATCATAAAAATCAAGTTGCTTTTAAAAACAATTAGTTATACACGGGCTCAACACGAACACGATAATTTAAAGCAGTGACAATGAGGATTTGGCCTATAATCCAAGTTAGCCGCTCCTCCACTGACCGTTGCTATATGCCATTAACATAACGCGTCCGACTACAAACGCATTTACCTAAAATGTCACTTAAAAAAGACGTTGACGGCTCTTTAAGTAGATTGATACGTGTATATATACATATAATGTTTGCATTAAATTTCTGTAATACCCAAATTGGCAAAACAACATCCTACAGCGCTAGCTAGTTTGCTGCTAGCGCATGAAGCTAAATGTTTGCGGGAGTATATACCATGTTCAAACGTAATCCATTGTATTAATACACATATTTTACGCCCCAGGTTTGTAGAATTTAGTCGTTCACTTTAACGTCAGTAACAATTAAGCCCAAAATATGCTTCGTTTTCTTATGCTAACGCAAGTCGTTTGGTGACTAGCCTGGCTAACTACAAGCTAAGTGACTACGGGTTTAAAATAGCGTTCACAAAAGTAAGAGTCTTCAAAAAAAGCAAACTTCTGTCTAACAGTTGTAGATAAATTGTATCACATCGAGTTCATGCGTTTTTACCTTGGATAACAAAAATAAAGCGATTCCGTTTGCGGTATTTGTACAGTGCTCTGGATTTTTTTAGCAGACTGCGAAAAGAGTCTTGTCAAACAAGGATTCAAGATGGCTCCCAGCCGTATTTGAAGCCGTTCCCAACCAGCCAATCAGCTGATTTCATTTCAAATCAACAAATTAACATTTAAGGTGTCCTCGTGAAGGAATGCAGTTAGACCGCCTAGTTAGGCCCAAATGTTAAGGTTATAAGTGTGCGTGTAATGATTAATTATGACTTTTTCCTCAGTGTTGCAAAATGTATACTTTTATTTGGTGCCATTGATAATTTTTACTGTTTTAACTATAACAATATATATACTCATTCTAAATATCTGTATTTCTTTTAGTTTAGATATGCTGAGACAGCCTGTGAGCACACAAAAATGAATTTAAAAAATAAAACAAACACTATGTTAATAATAATACTTAAAGGGGTTAATTTTATGATTACAAATTGTTCTAGAAGTGTCTGACTACTTTTTATTGAGCTAAAAGGAAACAATAGAGAAATAAATACTTGTATTATTTATGTCGTTCTGCCATTAATGCTCCAGAAGGCAATTATATATATATATATATATATATATATATATATATATATATATATATATATATATATATATATAGATATATATATATATATCTATATATATATAAGGAACTGTCCTGTTTTGTAGATGACAGAAATGACACAGGTGGATGAGCTCAAAATAGATTGAATGATGTCAGTGTAGGAAAAGACCAGCAGTTCGTGTGGAAAGTTGTAATTTCTGGGATGCTTCAGGAAGTATTGTTTCAGAATGGGGAAATTCTGGTGTCTACAGCAACAAAAAGATTATAGAATCTTTGTTTGTGCTGAGTCCAATAGGTGTTTTTACGTGCAATTAATTAATTTACTTTACCAGAGAGAATGTAGGAACCTCAACAGTGGAGCAACCCCATATGTAAAAGTGGAAAAAGCTTTAATATCTGCTCATTCAGTTTTGGCAAAAAGACATTAGGGAATTTAATAACTGGTTGGATAATAACTTCAACAGTTTTTTTTCTTTTATTTATTTACATTTTTTTATTAATCTATTTCTTATTTTAATTTAGAGTAAAAAACCACACACACAACAGGATTGTGCAATTCTATAATCTCATACTTTTTAGCTGTTTAAAAGTGCGATAAGTGTATAAGTGTTACTCGACACCTAACATGCTAAAATTGGCGTCTTCCTATCCATCCAGGAAGCAGGTAAAATAGAGCCAAAGACTCAGGAAAAGTCGTCAAATAAGAAAAAATAAGAGAGCAAAACAGTCATGATAACCACTGATTCAACACTTGTCTCTCAAGAGCCAGTGAACTCACAGCTTAGACATGCATGACTCAACTTCCTGTTCTAGATAATCCCCAAGTGACTCAACAGTGATACTGAATAATGAAACCTGTGGAAATACGAGAATGAGGTGCTTTAACATTATAATCATCTGAGACATAGCTTTTTCACTTGGGTTAGCATGGCACTGACAAGATAGAATGAGGGATCACATTTTCTAAATAAGATAAACAGCTCTTAACAGAAAAGTTTTCATATAATATTTATAATTTTCTCAAGATATTCCAAATTTTTGTTCTCTTACCCTGATGTTTTATTTTACATTTCAGTACCAAAATAAATGAGGCAACAATCAAGGTTGTATCAATGAATTAAGTGAGAGTGCAATATTGTAAGTAAGTATTTGCAATTTGCTGCGTAATGTTATAACAAATGAGGACATTATATTATTTAGTACTTCTGTGTTGACACTACTTTCATTTTAAATGTAATAAAGTAAAAAAAAATCTCTTCAAAAGTTCATATTCATGTCGGGGAAATCTAACCTGGCATAAACCAGATTGATAGAAAATCCAATTGAACTACACGTATGGATCTGGGAAGGCTCCTGTAGAAAGTGTCCGCAAAATGGAGGGACATTGTGTTCAATACTTTGAGCTGATTAGGTACCTGCCTCCCATGTCATGTTATTTTAGCCAATCACAGCAGTAGTATGAGCTATCTAGAATAAATCACACTCTTACCAAATCCAGCCAGGGGGAACCCACAACCATCTTCTCTTCCATAAAGGCAAAAATCTCAAACTTTTGCTTGCTTTTCAAGAAAATTAGAGGGTATTCCAGCTAAAACTGACACAGTTATGATTGTTTTTGCCTCAGTCTCCACCCCTGGTTGATGTGATGATGTCATAGACGTCACTGTACTTCATTGGCTCAAAAAATTTCTGTGTTGAGCCGAATGCATCTGCTGGTTGCTGGCATGATGTAATTTAATCAGTTTGTGAATTCACAGATCTCGCGACAATTTCTCTTGCTTGCATGGTAAGGGGGAATCATGTCTAAAAACAATTACATTTAACTCGATCAAAAATGCTGTATTGATACTAAATAATACAGGTGCTTCGTCAATGAGTTGTTTTAGGCAGAAGTATCTGCTAAAGAAGTCTTAAAGCAGTTCTGGAAAAGTCTCTGACTGAAGACGTCGTTGTTCTTCGTAACAGTATGAAGAATTCTACCTCTTGAAATCATTTTCAGAGATTCGAGTAAAAATCCTATAACAAAGTAAGCCTTCTTTCTTAGCTTGTTTAGCTTTTTTAAAAGCCTGACATACTGTACGGGTTTTTCTCCAGTCATGTGAGAATTTTTTGGATCGGTTAGAGTTTTGTCCTCATCATGCATCCTGCGTTGTGTGGTATATACAGCGGGGCGATCAGCCTCTCATGACCACCTCCCAATCAGGAATCCTGCTGTTGAAGCAGAGCTACGAGCAGATTAACCAGAACCTCGAGCACTACGCATGTGAAACAAGGGAGTTCTTCTTCCAGAGTTCTCGGCCCTGAGTCCGACGTGTGGATTTAGCAATTAGATTGCATCAGAGCGCCGGGCCGTAAAGCGTAAGAACATACATCATGAGCTGTGAACTTTTAAACCCTGCGGTTTCACAGTACCGTTTAGCTGAGTACGATTAAAAATATTGTACAGTGTATGCCCAGCCTAGGTTAGTTGCTGTTATTCTGCTACCGCAGCAGATGATAGCAGAGGATATCACACTCTCCACAACAGACTCATATACTGAAGGTAGTGTCTTACTGCAAACACTGAATTACATAAGAATCCTCAAGAACTGCAGCCTTCTCTGTTGTGAGATTACATCCACTGAATCACTCCTATGCTTCTGATTCCTGGATTAGACATCTGACCTTCAGTCTCACAAACTGTGATCGTTTATAAGATGCTTTATGATCCAGGCCATTTTTGAAGGCATCCACCTGAGTCTTCTTGAGATCCTCATAAAGCACATCAGACATAATCCTTTTAAAAGCACTAAAGAAATCAAAGAACCTGATTTCTACAGAGTTGTCTGTCTATATCGTCTAAATGACAGTTGTTATGGTCTTGGTTCTGTTAAAGTTTCTTTTAAATGTTCAGTTTCTCTTTTATGTTTTTCTTTGTTTTCTAGTTTTATTCCTATTTTGTGGTGTTTTCTGGATGTATTTCAGTTCTTAGGTATTTCTTGATTGCCCTCTTGTGTTGCTCTCCTTTTCGCTAGCTCCCTCTAGAATCCACTATTCACAGCTGCTCCCAATCAGCTCATTAGTCCAGTCTTTGTTCTGTCCACTATATATTCTCTCAGTGCTGGTTCGTCATCTTTTCCAGGTTCCCCACGTGAGTTTTACCATGATGTTGTCTGGTTTTGGTTCCATGTAGTTTGTACATTGGTTTTTGGTAGTGATGGTGAGATGAGGCCTAATGAGGCATTGAAAGTTTGGCCAAATTGCTTCAACGATCCCCACAGTTCATGAAGCCTTATGTCAACATGTCACCACCTACTGGTGGAGTGCAGAACTACAGTTAGTGATATAATCTGTGACTTTTTTTTGTGTGTGTGGCTGTTTTGTTTTTTTCCAATATAAATTAATTTGAAATTGTTAATGTTTGGTGTGTGTAATAAAATCTTTGGTAAGTTTATTTTATTTTTTTTTGTGTGTGTAAAATGTCTTAGAGAAAAAGCATTTTAAGGTACACTGTTTTTCAGCCATTTTAGTGAAATAAGCTCAAGCAGAAAGTGAAAGTCTGTGAAAATTGGGCAATGATGAGAAAATGAAAAGCGTTAGTCATTTTAATTTAAACATAGTTTTTCTGCAGTTTTTGGTTTTAATTAGGTTGGCAGTAATGTGTTCAACCAATCTTTTGGTTAAACCCATTAATCTAATTTTTTGTTTTTACCAATTTATATTTATTCTACGGCAACCAATAAAAATTAGTCACATTAGCCAAAAATACTTGGTGTTTTATCACAACTTTTAAAAGTCATAGGTGGGTCTTAAACCGTCAACTCATGGATTGGAAGTCAATCTCTTACAGCTTAAAACACTACAGGTGCTGGTCATAAAATTAGAATATCATGAAAAAGTAGATTGATTTCAGTAATTCCATTTAAAAAGTGAAACTTGTATATTATATTCATACATTACATACAAACTCATATATTTCAGATGTTTATTTTGTTTAATTTTGATGATTACAAATGACAACAAATGAAAATCTCAAATTCATCATATCAGAAAATTAGAATATTGTGAAGAGGTTCAAAATTGATGGCCCCTGGTGCCACACTCTAATCAGCTAATTAACTCAAACCACCTGCAAAAAACTTTAAATGGTCTTTCAGTCTAGTTCTATAGGCTACACAATCATGGGGAAGACTGCTGACTTGACAGTTGTCCAAAAGACGACCATCGCCACCTTGCACAAGGAGGGCAAGACACAAAAGGTCATCGCTAAAGAGGCTGGCTGTTCACAGAGCTCAGTGTCCAAGCACATTAATAGAGAGGCGAAGGGAAGGAAAAGATGTGGTCGAAAAAAGTGTACAAGCAAGAGAGATAACCGCACCCTGGAGAGGATTGTGAAACAAAACCCATTCAAAAATGTGGGGGAGATTCACAAAGAGTGGACTGCAGCTGGAGTGAGTGCTTCAAGAACCACCACACACAGACGTATGAAAGACATGGGTTTCTGCTGTCGCATTCCTTGTGTCAAGCCACTCTTGAACCACAGACAGCGT